AAATAGGTTACATTTAAAGCCACGTGTGATGTCACCTCTCTGCGCTTGGATGATGTCAGCTATCATCAAAGATACAGGTAAAAACAACAGGGTGGGGCTAAAGGCAATAAAACATGATTCCTTAACCCTGCCAAAAATAGCAGAATGACTCTTAAAATTGCAGCATGTAGACATTAGGGGCTCATGCACATGAGCATACGATTGGGGAATACAGCATAAAAATTCTGGCTTTGTTCCGCACCCAGGAAGCCCAGGTCCTGCTTACAGCCGCTCATAGATATGAATGTCTGTGCGCAGATGTATGCGGTATATACGCCAGTACGCACGTTAGGGTGCATTCACACCAAAATCAGAAGTAAGCTGTATGCAACAGAGGGTCCGTTGACTTGCAATTGTACCTTCCGATTTCTTTCCGATCCGTTGAGTTGCGATCCACTTTTCAATGGATGCAAATGGAAGGGCACTGAAAAATGAATAGGTGTGAATGGGGCTAGTTCACACCGGATACGTTGTGTTACGCTGCACTGAAAAAAGTAATGCATGCTTTACTTCTCTTTTCACTGCAATATAACGTTACGCAGTGGGATGGAGCAGTATGAACTAGCCCCATTCACACCCATTCATTTTTCAGTGCCCTTCCGTTGGCATCCGTTGAAAAACGGATCACAATGCAATGGATCGCAACGTAACTGATCTGGTGTTAATGGGCCTTAAACCCACGTATATGACACAAGCATATTCCCTAAATGCAGAAACCCAGTTCTTGTAACAAGTCTAGAAAAGTTGTGCCATGATATTTACCTTTGGTCATGCCTCTTCTTCTTATAGCCTGTACATGTGCAATACAATACCACAGGCTTCTCTAAGCAGAAGACAGCTCTGTCGATGTCTACAGGGTTTTTCTGTGCATGTTAAGGGGGAAAATACCTGGCCAGAGATAAACATTGCTGCAGAACATAGCTGGACTTGGTGCAAGAACTAGGTATATGCAGCTGAGGATGGGTTGGTTTAGTTCAGCTCAGAAGGGGGTGAGGTGCAAAAAGTGGTAAGGAAACTTTCCATACACTGTAAAACTTTAGTTGTGCTGCCGCCTTATAGTTAGACATACAAGTGCAAAGCGTCTTGCCTCATCTACTACACAGCGTTGATACTGGGCTGTCTATAGTTCAAATCTAATCTGTGCAAAAACCACACAATTGTCATCCTTAGGCCCCATTCATATGGGCTAATTAGGTCTGGCATCAGACAAACTGCGTCCAGTTCTGGTTATCTGACCCTACCGCAGTTATCTCCTGGATGTGTGGATACATGCAAATAGCGGTGGGCAGCACACTGTCCTTATACAAGCTTAATAGTGAACAAGGCCTTACAAAGAGCACTTTATTGTTTTAGTGGTGGTTATATGAAATAACTGTTGATATTAAACAATATGTGCTCCATCACGATACAGGAAGATTGTACATCTTCGCCTCTGCTGCCTTAAATATATAAATATGATCTGCTTTTTGGGGGGGTTTTCCGGAGTACAACTTTTTTTTTTAGAATTCTTTTAGGGCTGGCCAGAAGGTATTCCTTTGATGGAGCTAGCTCAGCTAAACATGCATTTGCATGAAGTGGAACCAAGAAACTATCTGTAATGAACACATCTCAGTCTCCTCATTGTGTGTGGAAGAATTCTTCCTTGTTTAGGCACAGCAGAATTAGTAGCTATTTTATACCAAGTGACAACAAGTAAAACATTTGCTTTGGCACAGTGCTATGATGAAAATGCCAAATGAACATAATGCTATGTTGCACCAACCAGTTACCAGAATTAAAAGACGATTACGGAAGCCATCTATAAAATGTGCTTGTATTTTTCTCCCCAGTGTGTTATTTATCCATAGCTGGGCACCCCCTATTGGCATCATCAGTTAACTACATTGAATTTGTACACATTTGAAAATTAGATTTATAACAAGAGATCTAAATGAGAAAAGAAAGCACAATTGTTGTCCACAGTGACCAGTTTCTTTGGTTCTGTAGGATAAAGAAACTGTTACTGTGGATAATAACATAGTCAAATAGAAACTATGTTTCTATTTAGTTTTTTCCTGTTTGTTACACTTTAACCATTCCCATGTTTTACAGTCTTGTACTTGGCCACTTGCCATAGAAGCAGCAAAAGCAGAGGGTAGGCAGATAACACTCTAGATGACTAGATGAAGGCCGGATTCAGACCTTTGCAGGGTGTAACTACGTGAATGTTAAAGGAGAGCAATGGGGTTAGGGCTTTTCCTCATAGTTCTCCTAAGGGTAACGGGAGGACACAAACTAGCGTCCTCCCGTCACCCTAAGCTCAGTATACCGCGAGCTACAGCTCGCGGTATACTGAGTCGCCGCAGCTGAAGCGGATCCTGACAATTATGTCTGGATCCGCCCAGCTGCGTGAGTGACAGCTGGCTCTGCCTATCCAGAGGCAGAGTCAGCTGTACCCGCCCCCTCTCCCGTTCGTTCCGCCAGTCAGCGCTGGAGGATCGGAGCGGGGAGGGGGGAATCCAGCCCCACCCCTGTCATGGCTCTCTGCCATGACAGGATCGAGAAGTGATCGAGAACGCCGGTATGTGTTCGCTCACTTCCCGATCTACTGAGCCGACCTGTGACAGTATCATTGTCACAGGTCGGCTAGAACTATGAGGTGAGTGAAAAGCACTCACCTCATAGTTCTCCTTTAACGTGCGTCATCTTGTATGTTAAAAGAGAACTATGGGGTAAGTGTTTTTCCCCATAGTTCTCTTAAAGGTCACGGGAGGACATATACTAACCTCCTCCTGTGACCTAAAGCTCAGTCTATAGCGAGCTACAGCTCGCGGTATACTGAGTGCCGCAGCCGGGACGGATCCCGACATTACTGTCGAGATCCACCCAGCTGCGAGTGACAGCAGACTCTACCCATCTAGAGACAGAGCCAGCTGTACCCCGCTGGAGGATGGGAGCAGGGAAGGGGGGAATCCCTGCAGGGAGCCGTGACTGACAGTCACCGCTCTATGCAGGGAGATGATCGTGAAGTGAGCGAGTGATGGTATGTGGTCGCTCACTTCCCGATCTATTGAGCCGACGTGCGACAGTTTAATTGTCACACGTCGGCTCGAACTATGAGGGTGAGTGAAAATCACTCACCTCATAGTTCTCCTTTAATGTGCCTTGCAGTAGGGCAGTTCATCTTTTTTGAATGGTCTGCCAATGCCCTACTCAGGCGGTAAATTGTAGATTTGTCAAATTGTACACTTTTGTATGGAAATATCCAATCAAAACAAACAATCTTAGTCTACAGTACTGTATTTTATAAATACCTTCAGACACCATTACTACAAGAGGTAAAGTATTATTAAACTCCCAAACTTGTTTTCAATAATGAATCCAGATCAAACAAATATACATTGCCCAGCAAAGTATTTCCTTAAATGTTTGCCTAAGCACCTACAGTCATCATGTCTCCAAACAGCTGACTCAAACTCATATACAGTCCGGCGTCCCCACACTTCCTGTCAAGTACAAGATCACAGAACAGCAGTACAAAGGACAGCGCAGACTCTAGCGCAGCTGTCCATCTACTAGCATGGAGAAGGGAGGTGGAGAGCAGGAGAGTGGTTTGCCCTGCTGTGCCTGTGTGTTTCAGGAGACATAAGGCTTACTAGCACATACAAGGGTGGCTCCATAGGACCCTGCAATGGAAAGGAACAACCCCAAAAAAGGATATAAGGGCAGGTGTTCAATGACCAGCTGATTCTACAGGAAACTAAAACTTTTAAGGGCTTGTTCACACCAATTACAGTATGTTCCAGCTCGGTTAGCTGCTGCAACACACTGCATCGCATACTAAACTACCCCCTGCATTCTGGGGCAGGAGCACTATTTTTTATGATGCCACGCGTCCTGGTGGGGGCGATCACACTGCAGGCGGGGGGGGTGCAGCTGTGGTGCCATTGACTTGAATTGACAGGACGCAGGGGGGAGTTTAGTATTCGATAGGGTGCGTTTCAGCAGGTAACCGTGCTGGAATGCACTATAATTGGTGTGAACAAGCCCTAAACATCAAGGAGCAACATTCATTTTAACAGGGTTATTCACTAAAGAGTGAAGAGTTTGGAGAAGGCCGGAGAAGTGAACAATCTAGGACAACATAGCTGATAGCTGAACTGGAAAGTGAACTAAATTGGAGAATTTTTCCAAATCAGCGATGTTATCCTAGATTGTTCACTTCTCCTGTCTTCTCCAAACTCTTCACCCTCTAGTGAATAACCCTGTAAGTGGTTTCATCAGCATTTTTAAATAGCATAAAAAACATTGATAAATATCACTTTAAACGTTTATCACTTTAAAACTATTTTGCTTGAGCTTACATACATTAATGTGAACCTGTCCTTTGCCCATACTAAGAAAATTAACTGGTTCATCCACTGTAGGGACTCTCAGGGCACAGAATACACAGAACAGTGCATACTGGTGCACTACATACCACGTGTTGTGGTGTGCTGAGTTTAAAAGAAAGAGGTATACATCCAGTTTTTGTTCCTAAGCTGGGGTTGGCAGTTCATTAAATGGAATGGGCAGATGTGAAAGCCCCATAATATCTCACTAAAAAAGTAACTCCTATTGAAGGAGATGCCTGAAATATGACCTGCATCTCAATGTAGACTTCAGGAAAAAGCAGTAAACCAATCACACAACCAGGAAATTACATTTTTGGAGCCATTCTGCCATATTGACAGGAAGGGACATTTCAATTCTCTGACATTTTTAGAAAATCATTCTGCCTGGAGACTGCAATGGAAAATGTAATTTTCAATATCATTAAATTAAAAATGGCTTGTGTAGCAGTTATATTTCCAAAATTAGATTTTTAGCACAAGTGTTTTTTATTGTCGGCTCACCACAGTAAAGTGAACATGTTACTTTGGCCATTAGTGCATTATGTAAGATACAGAAGAGGAATGCAACTTCTGAATTTATTTACTTACCAATATCAGTTTCCTTATGGTTTTTAATGAACTCAGCAAGCTCAAAATTTCCAGCAATTATAGCAACCTGCAACAATACAGTGTATGATTAATGAACAGCTTTTTATTTTTGGATTTATAAAATAAATATCATTTTATAGTAAAATTGTACTCAAGGTAAACATAGTTTCCATGTATTCCACTCCATTTAACACTGAAGGTAAAGTGCCCAGACAATTAAAAAAAACAATGTTTTCAGTTGATCCCATCCGCCCCAGTGGATTACAGTGATTTCAAGACTATATAGGAATTAATTAAAACTGCTTGTAAAATGCTTAAAGAACACACATTTAAAAGGGTTGTAAAATGCACATGTTTTAAAAATGCATCAGAATCAAAACGCATTTTCAAATCCATAAAGTTTGAACAAGTGTGCATGCAGTTATGATATTGTTGTTGAAACACCACTTGGATGCCATAGCAGGCACCAAGTATATAGTTTGAGCTTCTTCCAGTGCCCCTCCGAAGCCCCAAAACCCAGACTGTGCTGTTACAGAGGTCTCAACTGGCTTCCCCAGGTTCACCAGACATTTAGGGGGTTATTCACTAAAGGGTGTAGAGTTTGGAGAAGGCAGGAGAAGTGAACAATCTAGGCCAAAATAGCCGATTTAGAAAGTGAGCTGAATTGGAGAATGTTTCCAGTTCTGCTATGTTGTCCTAGATTGTTCACTTCTCCTGCCTTCTCCAAACTCTTCACCCTTTTGTGAATAACCCCTTAATAATCAGGACTAAAGTGTACTGGTGCATTACTACAATCTGCATATTTTTACAGTGAACTTAAAACTCGGGAAACTGTGATGTCAAAGAGAATTGGGAAAATGGTAGAAAGTCAATAGATTGCCAAACAAATGGCAGCAAAAAAAAGGACCTTTGATTACTCCACCATAAGTAGGGTTCATTCTTCAGATTACCTGTATTACATAAGGGATTATGCTTGGTTTAATGAAGAGCATTAATGTGGCAGATGAGGTTTAATGTCGATAAATGCAAAGTAATGCACTTTGGAATTAAAAATAAACAAATGGGTTATACAATTATGGGTATGCCGCTGGGGAAGTCAGAAATGGAGAAGGATTTGGGGGTCATTGTAGACCACAAACTGAAAGGTAGTTTGCAGTGCCAGGCTGCTGTAAACAAAGCTAGCAGGGTCTTGTCCTGTATTAAAAAGGGGATGTATTGCAGGGACAAGTCTATAATTTTGCCACTTTATAGATCATTGGTTCGACCTCATCTGGAGTACGCGGTCCAGTTCTGGTCACCAGTACTAAGAAAAGATGTCCTTGAGTTGGAAAAAGTCCAGCGAAGGGCAACCAAACTAATTAGGGGTATGGAGGACCAGAGCTACGAGACGAGGCTACTAAATTTAAACATGTTCACATTAGAGGTGAGGAGATTAAGGGGGGATATGATTTCCATGTACAAAATGTTTAATGGTGGTAGCAACATTAGCGATAAACTGTTTAAAATTAACTCCGTTACAAAAACTAGAGGCCATCACCTAAAATTGGTGGAAAAAAAATTCCAGCACAAGGTGCGAAGGGGGTTCTTCACAGTAAGATCAGTTAGGGTCTGGAACTCACTGCCACAGGCGGTGATTTCAGCAAATAATGTGGAATTGTTCAAGAAACTTTTGGACGATTTCTTAAGGGACCGTAATATACAGGGGTACGGGTACTCCTAGAATGAGATCCTAATAGGTTGGACTTGATGGACTAATGTCTTTATTCAACCTCAAATACTATGTAACTATGTAACAAATTATCCGCAGAATCTTTAGGAGGTCAAGACTTCAAGTTACTACACTTATGAGAGCAAGAGACAACACCTTTAATTTTTTTCCCCAGCAGTATAGTTAGTGTGAATCCATGCTGAAATGTTAACTTCAAGTGAACCTATGCTTTGCCCAAATACCTTCCCTTCACTCGCACGCTGTTTTTTACTTCAAGGAAGAGAACAAAACACTGAGAAAGCTTCAGCAAATATTATACAAGACCAAGGGCTCTCTCCCTACCCCTATCTAACATCCCTTGTCCCTAGCAAAAGCCTACTCAGACATCCTGAGTTGCATTTTGGGAGAAAGAGAATTGACATTCCGCGAGCTGTAGCTCACGGTATACTGAGCTTAGGGTAACGGGAGGACGCTAGTTTGTGTCCTCCCGTTACCCTAAGGAGAACTATGGGGAAAAACACTGACCCCATAGTTCTCCTATAAAGCTTGGTTAACAATAAATTGAAATACTAAAATACTCATCTTTCCTAGAGGGAGTGTCATTCCTCTTTCCTTTCTGTACTGTCCCTTTGCCCAAGAGTCTAGGCCTTTTGTCACAGGACTTTTCTCAAATGGGGTGAGTTATAGGGTTGCCACCTTTTCTTCCAGTGAAACCTGAACACTCTAGCGACGCACATAATTTTTTTGGGGAGAAGGAGTCGTGGCTTATTCGTATGTAAATAGGGTTACCCATTCATATGTAAATATCACAGTCGAGACTATTTTTAGTGGGGTGCCAGTAGCCCCTATCTTAATTTTGGTTGCCCCTGTCTGCCTGACATCATGTGTCCGGGTTTCAGGTGCCATGAAACCTGGACACAACATTCAAAACCCGGACTGGCCGGGTAAATCCTGGACAGGTGGCAACCCTAGTGAGTTATATAATGTGAACGGTCATCACATGACCAGATGCCTACAAACTCATATGACGACAGCAATACAAACATAATTTCAATCATCTTTTACCTATGCTTCCTACTGTAGCTGAGCTCTACTGCACAGGCAGCAAGAAGGCATAGCCAAATGAAGGAAATTAGGGGCACATACTGTAGAACATGTTCAGGTAAAAACATTTTCAAGTTCACGTTTTTATTCCTTACAGATTTATCCTTCATTATTTCTAATTAAAACTGTATATGGGGCATCCATGTTTGCTACATTTATATGCTTGGTAGTGCTACAAAGTTTATTCTGATTTGCTTGCCGATTATTTCAAAGGAAGGAAGACATACAGGTAACCACTAGAGGGAGCATTTGGAGATCTTTATAGGGAATACAGTATGAACCTGGAAACATTTTTTACAGCAGGTGTATAAAATTATTGTACTCCAATAACCTAAAACACATAGTTTGCCTATAACTAAAGTACTGTGTTTTTTCCCTTCCCAAATGAGCTAAAAAAAACAAACCCTGGGGCTCCCGATAATTGTTATGGTAAAAGTATCATTACAAATACAAACATACACATGTACTTTCCAGCAGAGCCTCCATTGAATTGTCACTGGTGTCACACATTGAGCTATACACAGTTCATAATACTAATCAACCATATTTTGTCAACTTGACAGGGAATCCTTGTTGGTTTCCATTCAGCCCTGTAAATGATTTGATATTCACATGACATTTTTCCATTGTGACATTCCACAAGTGATAATCAAGGCTTCAAGAAAAAAAAAAAACACACTGGCAGAAAGCATTGAATTGGGGAATAATGAGCTTTCTCAATGAGCCACTGCCTGCAACATCAGAGAATGGCCTGACAGCATTAAATGCTGAAATGTTGGAAAATAAAACAAACATCTGCTTGGATCGCTTACTCGCCGCTCTCTGTAGCTGGTTCAATTAAATGTATTCCAGGCACACGAGACCTGTGCTGCATGGAAAATGGAATCTTCAAACTCCATTATGTAAATGATTTGCATACAGGTGTTATATACATTCGTATCTTGTGTTTGGTAATGTACAGTAAGTAGAATATACCAGTTGGAACCCTTCTTCACCTGTGTACATTTCTACACTTTTCTGCACCATTCTCCAACTGTGTAACCAGTGTCTGTCTCACAGCAGTTCTCTTCACCCGTGCAACCCATCTCTACCTCGCTGCAGTTCTCTTCAACTGTTCAACCCTTTCCAACTATGCAGCCATCCTGCAACTTTCTCCAGCTGTGCAACCCCTCTTCACAGTGATCTTTAGGCTGTTAATCCTCACTCCTCACTACCTTTCTGCAACACTATTTAACTGTATAAAGCTGGCCATACACTTTACAACCATCGCAAGACTTTCGTCTTGCGATGGTTGTAAGCTAATTAAAAGCTTGTACGATCTGCCCATCTTGGACAGGCAGATCGCACTTGCGATCATCGGAAAGCACGCCCCGCTGAGGGGAGGGCTTCCGATGACTGCAATGCTGAGCGGGCAGTGTGCGCTTGCGCACACCGGCCCGTGCTGCATTTGCCTTACGAGCACGCCAAAAACCCACCGGAAATCTTACGATTTTCGGATGGTTTTCCAACATGCTTGTAAGACAAAAGACGTGCGACTGTACAGTAGAAACGGTCGCACGCCTTCCATAAACCTGCCGATTATCATACGATCGCTGGATTACACGCGATTATCGTACAATAATCGGCAGATGTATGGCCACCTTAACCCTCTCCACAGACTAATTCAGCTGTGCAACTGCACCCTGCTCCACTTATATGCAGCTGAAAACCCTTCTGCATCTCTCTAGGTTACTACATGTCAAACCCATCTCCAATTGCACAACTCTGTTGATAAATGGGTATTCCCACCAAACCTTGATCCTTATCTCCCTTTATCCATGTATCTTCACTGAATTTTCTTAACTGTCCCAAGCCCCAACTTTTAAAAAATATCCCCCCACCGCCACCTGCGTAAGTGGATGGTGGGTGAGATGGCTTCTTGCGATTTGAATTTCCTCCCGATGCCTTGGCCCTAATATTAAACTGGACCAGAGTTAACTTCAAGAGTTTCAAGGAAATGCAATATATTGTCCTCAAAGGAAGAAACGTCTCCACTAAAAAAAGGTACATGCTGTTTTTTCAGCCACGAACGTGCGAAATTGCACGTCGCCAAGTGTGCACCTGCACGGGAGGAATCGCGCAATCTGCTGTGACTGGGGTGCCATTAGAAAAGAATGGCACCATCAGCGCAATCAGTAGTGGTGTGCAGTTCCATGACCGCGCGGCCATCCGCATGGTTTCGTGCCCGATTGCCACGCTGTCACAGACCGCCTAAC